GTACATTTAAGTCTGTCAATCCCAGCAACTAAAACTTCTTTTGAGTGCCACTCCTCTGCCATTCCCAGTACCAACTGAATGCTGCATGTGTGTTCTAAGCCTACTTGGAAGAACTACCACTGACTAAACAGCAACCAAATTAACCCTCAGCATCGTTCACTGCCTGTGTTAGAGAATTTTAGGATTCTATCATCTACTGCTAAGGAAGTCTTTGGGGAGAGGTGCTGGAGAGATGGCCAGCAGTTAAGAGCACTGGCTGCTCTTGAAGAGGACTGGGGTGTGGTTTCCAGCACCCACATGGTGGCTAACAACCATTTGTAACTCCAGGTCCAGGAGATCCTACGCCCTCTTATGGCCTCTGCAGGCACTGCATGCATGTGGAGGCAAACCACTCACACACATAGAAAAATTATTTGGGGGAATCAAAAGGAGGCAGTTAAATCAGATGTTCAACACAGTAAAGAGACTGTCACTTTTTTCATTCTGGTAACTCTGTCATGAAGCACATGGGCTTTTCTAATTTTTATTATAATAGAAAACTGTATTAGCTTGCAGTTTACATTTAGAAAAGGCTAAACTTAGTGATGACCTCTGTGGTGTATTTGAGTTTTCTTACTCAAGTCAGTCATGTGTTCAGCTTCCCCTCAGCTCTCTCACTTGGGTGTTAAGTAAAGGATTTCTTTACCCAGGAATCCTAGGATTTTACACCAGGGGCTGCCAGAGGCTGTGCTCTATGCTGGCTTATTGGAGTATGTGACAAGCTTCAGATTAAGGTACAGCTCAGTGATGGATACTTGGTTCAAACACTTAACTGAGGCCTCAGTTTTTAATTATTCCATATGCTAATGAACAAGCACTGGACAGCTACATTGTACCTTACGTGGTCCTCACATGCCTAACACTTCAGATAAGAGTTATGTACCTAAGAGCGAGGCAGTTTCATTTAAAGCCAGGTGTGGTGGCACAAGCCTTTAGTCCCAGCACTCAGAGGCAGAGGCAGGCGGATCTTTGTGAGTTTGAGGCCAGCTTGGTCTACATAGTGAGTTCCAGGTCAACTGGGGCTACAGGGAGACCCCATCTCAGACAGAAAGAAATAAAAGTTTATGTGCCAGAGAGAATACTGTAACTGAAAAGTCTTCAATTCCTGCTCTTCTACTTATCAATTTCTACATATTCTAACAGACATAACCAATAAATGTGGCAATTTTTAAAAATAACATCCTAAATCACCATGACCAAGCCACTTTTTACCCTTTCATAATAACTACTGATTTACAAAGAAAATTATTTAGAAAGACAGAAACTTAACATGGTTTATACTGGAGCAGTTTTCAAATGCATGTCTTTAAAAAAGCTCAATTTTCTTCTAACTGATCATCTAACAGATGGATGGTACCTGTTTGTAACCTCATAAATTTACTGTACTATCTTATTTTCTTCTCAAATCAACTTATCAACCACAGGCTTTAAACATCTGGATGCTTTATTTTTCCAATATTAAGATATAAAGAAAAGGGCCATGAAGACAGCTCAGCTGGTAAAGTGCTTGCCTTGCAAGCATAAGGACCTAAGAGTCCAGAACCCACATAAAATGCTGACTGTGGTGGTACAACGTAATCTGAGCTGTGGGAGGCGAAGACAGACCGATCCCTAGGGCTTCCTGGCCAGCAAGTCTGGCCTCTTGTGAGCTCTGGGAATGAGAAATCCTGTCTCAAAGAAGGTGGACAGCATTCTGGAGGATGACACCTAAGGCTGAACTCTGGTTTCTAAATGTACACATGCATATGTGCATATGTACTCAAACATCAGACATTAAAAAAAAAAAAACCCAAACAACAAAAAAAACCCCTTGATACTTTAAAAATTATCTACAGCTAAACATAAGGGACTGGGACTTAAACCACAGCCTATCTTAATGTTGGGAACAGAGAAAACCTGTATCAAGGACCCTCCATCCCCAATAGTATTTGGCCTAAATAAACGTCCTTTAAAAATTTTTATTTATGGGGCTGGAGAGATGGCTTACTGGTTAAGAGCACTGGCTGCTCTTGCAGAGGTCTTGGGTTCAGTTCCCAGCACCCACATGGAATACTCACATACATGTAGGCAAAACACTCATATACATAAAATAAAAATATTTTAAAAAATGTTATTATGTGTGTGTGGTATGGGGGAGGGGCACACATGTGCCCGGGTGGGCATGGAGGTGAGAGGACAACCCTGTGGAGTACTTCTCCCCTTCCATCTTCATGTGGGTTTCTAGGACTTAGAACTCAGGTTGTCAGGCTTTGCAGCAAGTGTTTTTACCTGCTGAGCCATTGTGCTGGCCCAAAAATGGCTTTTCATGAAACTGAAAATTTTAGCTTCTTAGTCAAGTACGTTCATACTCAACAAAAAACAGTTCCTATAAATACACGTTCTCTACTATCCTTATACAGTCAAAGTACTAACAAGAACAATTGTTCCCTGTCAGGTTCCGTAGAAATACAGCAAGTTTTGACTTCAAAAAAGCATCGAACTTATAAACAGTAAATGGCTCTTGCTTAAAAGTCAGAGGTATTAAAAACTTCAGTACAGCCAGGTGTGGTAGCGCACGTCTTTAATCCCAGCACTTGGGAGGCAGAGGCAGGCAGATCTCTGAGAGTTTGAGGCCAGTCTGGTCTACATAGCAAGTTCTAGGCCAGCTGGGGCTACAGGGAGACCCTGTCTGTAAAAAAAACAAAATAAAAAAACCCCACCCAGAAACAACAAACAAAACAACCTTTCAGTACAGTCGGGGAGGAAGTGGGTGTAGATTTGATCAAAACACCATATATACATGTATGAAATTCTCAATAGTTTTTTTTAAAGTTAAAAAAAAGAGCCACATTCACAAAAATTAGACTCCATTACATTCCTAACACCGGGTTCATTAGGAATTGAGAGTGCACACATTCATTCAATGAACCTTTCAGCCTCTTCACACACACTTTGTGATCCTTGCAGCATGGTGGGACTGGGCTCGTACTAGCAATATGCACAAAAGTACAGCAAAGATCTTACTCTGGAGCAGTGTTCAGTCTGATGGGAGACAGAAATATTTAAGTGCACAAACAGGCATGAGAGCCAGTGTTGACTGAGTCATGGAAGAACAGAAGAGGTCTATCCAGGGCTAGTTTGAGATGGTTTAGCAGAGGAGACAAGTTTCTCATAGTCTGGATGAATTTCCTATAACAGAGGTGGAGAAATGACACCAATCGGTGGTGAAAAAAACCTGGCTACACAGAACACAGTGGAAACTGCAGTGTGGTGGTCAGCGCAGCAGAGTGTGGAAAGGGGGTTTTTATAGCTTTTAGTGTCTTATTAATAAATGTTTCATTATTGCATTCTGTGGTTCTTAGGTACTGTTTAGTCAGTAAATGATTGATCTAAGCCTCCTACCTCCTTAGTCTGGAATTCATGTAAGGACGTTTGCATAAAAAGGAGATGGACATAGGGTGGAGATATATTTTTCCATTCATTCAATCTATATACTTTCACTTTGTACTATGAGGACATTTGAAAAAAAAAATCTGTCTGAAGAATTGAATTTAGTGGAAAATCTCTTTGTGTTGATTTTAACATGTGGCAATCATACAATAAACAACCAAGAGCCCCCCTCCCCCCCGCAAAAACCACCACCCCAAGGAACTTCAGTACAATCTTAAGAGCCTTCTGTTTCTCAGAGCTTTGGGGAGATGCAGATACTAATTCAGTTTGTATTAAAAACAAAAATGGCACTACCAAGAACAGGTTTGGAGTTTAGAAGTGAATGTTACAATAAACGTCTTCAGGAAAATGGGTTTTCTTATAGTGTGCTAAGGGGACAGGGACTTCTAGGGCTTCTTTAGACAGTTTGCTTTATATGATGTAATTTTTATGCTTATAACCCACAGGATCTTATTGTTTTTTGAGACAAAGTCTCTCTAGGTAGCCCAGGCTGGCCTCAGACTCATAACCATCCTGCCTCAGTCTCCTAAATGCTGGATTATAGCTATGTGCCACTCACTGCATATGGGTCCACAGGATTAAAGACCAGGGTAAAGAGCTTACACAACTCTGATGGCTACATGAAGGAATGCAAGCGGTCCTGCAGCTCACATCTAAGACTCTGTTTCATAAAAACACCAGTTCTTCACAGTGGCACTGAAAAGATGAGTCAAGTCTTAGCCAGGCAAACTGAAAAGGTTTGTGCCTGTTGCTTAATTCATTTAGAATGAGAAGTGACTTTAATTTGTAGATAGAGCAGGAGCCTGAGTTGGGACAGAGAAAAACCAGCTGATATGTTCCTAACAGTGGGCTACATAATGGCTGCAAATGCAAATTAATGCCAGGAACATGGAATCCACAGTTGTGGAGAAGATGGAAAGGGGCGGGGAGATGATGGGGTCTGGTAAGAGGCAAAAAATATGAGATTGTTATATTTCTAATGAGGACATTAGACTTTCTAAATGGAACTCAAAATCGATACTTTGTAATTGTTGAAAGCACTGGGGTTTATATACTCAGAGCCAATTTAAAGAAATGTATATACACTGTAGGTGATATAGATTTTACATTTAAAGTCAATTACTTGGCAATATCCTTTACTTTTCAAATTATATAAAGAAAAACTTTGTGTAGATGAGCTGAAGTGTCATGATCATGCTATGGAACAAAACCAGCAAAATGTTTCTTACCATCTTGACTACAAGACACCGTGTCAAGCTGTGCTGAGAGAACACAGGACACAGGGACATACAACAGGTATTTCAAAACAAAAGGTAGACAGAGAGTTACCGCTTTATGTATTTCCTTTGCATGTGTTATTTAACATTCCTGACTTTCATGAAGTCTTAAAGGAACAGTGACATGTTGTGTAAACTGTAAATAGTGAAGCCTTGGGCTTTAGTAATTTTTTTTTTTCTTTTAACACCCAATATGACTTAGTTTAGAATTAACACATTATTTTGGAAGATTATCTAAGTGTCACAGACAAGAAACACAAATATACTGCAATTTTATTTCAATCGCACAAATGAAGTTAGCGTGTAGGAAATTTAAATGAAACAGTTATGGTAAAAACAGCAGAGAGCTGAGAAACCTAAAAAGGAAACACACCTAAAGCATGAGGATTTGACATTCACCAGTGTTTCATCTTCAGCTTTGACACTTTATACTTATAAATTTTTAAACAAACTTGAAATCATGACGACTCTTCTGAAGAGATTTCAGCACCAGCACTAAGATTTGTACATTCAGTTTGTTTGCTATTGACTTGCTAGCCATTTACAGAATGTATGGTACACATTTGTCGCAGGTCAGATCACAGTGTTGAGGCGAGCAGTAACTTCCTGGAATTGGAAAGGATCCCTAAACTGTACTCAGCTGAAGACATTCAACACATAAGAGCAGAAAAAAAACCCATCATAATAATATGGTTCCAAGGAACAGTTTTGAGAAGGAAAATAACTTAAGCTTCTGCTTCCCACTTTAATTATTGAAATCTCTAACACAGACAAGACTGTCATGTATGACAGTGATGTGTAGAGTAATTCAATCAAGCCTCTAGGAAGGAACACATTTATCAGTCCGGGATAATGCAAAATGATGGAAAATGTAGCATGAATCAACACTGGTTCGTTTTGTCATTTTACAGATGTGTTAATATTAGACCAAGGCACAAAACGTTTAGTGCATAAACCAGTTTAAGATTTAGCATTTTATTTTAGTCTTATCTGACTTTGGACCACTTATACCCAGTACTCTACATACTGTAGACTATTTAACTTAGCCAACAAAATCAAAAGAGATTTCTGACCAGATTTGTAGGGGACAGAAACAAAAATGTTGTCAAAGTAGCTGCATAATAAAAGTACACTGATAAGATGAAAATACCTCCTAGTTCTTTTAGAGAATAATTTATAAGCTTGTGGCATCTTTAATGCCGTTACTATTATTGTATGACAATGAGTAATGGGCAAAACAGAGCTGAGTCCTTGAACTATGACAGCTCAACCCATCACAGTTTCACCTAAAAATGAACTTTAGAAACTGTTAACAAGGAGACCCCCCCCCAAAAAAAACAAACAAACCAACAACAACAAAAACTCTCATTCAAACTTCTGCTGGTAATGACTGCAAATCCATAGCATTTTGAAAACTATGCTATCAACAAGCTTTGTTTTAGAACTAAGATGTAGGAAATCTAGAAAGCAGGTGAAAGCAGATTATTTCTTCAAAATTTTAGTGAAAGTTTTGATAATCAAAGATTCCAAAGCAAATATGGCACATAACTCAAGCATAAACCATGATGGGGAGCTTGGAGAAGTCTGAGTTTCTAAATTTTCCAAAAAACTAACATTATAACATATAGGATTTCTCCCTTATTTTAGTCTTACAAAGCAAAAAGAGTGGATTACATACACACATCAAATGCGCATACACGCATACACACACACACACACACACACACACCCACACACACCCAGCCATACTCACCTATGCAGGGTGTAACAGTATCTGATTTTTCCCCACCACCTAAACCTCTATTTAGTAAAAGGAAACCGCAGAACTCCTTGCTTGCTTCCCTTTATCTGGTGAGTTCTGTGACCCTAATTGCCACCATCATTATTATTTCTTGTGTTTTAACACAACCAAGTTCAAAAGTGGCTTCGTAGTCAGGAACATGTACCTGAACACCAGCAGCACTGTGGGGGACCTAGTAATAATAACTGCCAAATTCAGTGATCAAACTTTTTGAGTTCCACAGGAAGATGTAATTCATGTGAAGCTCAGAATCATGCTTCAGACCATTGGAATACTGGTTAAAATACAAATTGCTGAAGACATGATGTCAAAGATTAAGCACTTGGTTCTGTTAACATTTACCAATTAAAGTCACAAAATATTTCTCATTATTATTCATGCAGGTAATTGAGAAAAAAGATAGTGCAGAAATTAACTTTAAATAAAAAATTATTCCTTCCCTTCCTCCCTTCCCTATATTCTACAAAGTATTTTCCCTGGGACTAGGCCTTAACAAGGCCACTACATATTAGCAGGACATGCATTACTGTCTGTAAGTAAAAAAGCTAACTTCATGGTGATTGTAATTACATTATAAAAATGCCACATGCATAAATCTAAAAAAGGTTGAAAACCTACAGTAAATCTATAATATGTTTTACATTTGACCACTGGTTTTTGTTATATAGAAGTCATAGATTTGGTAAAGCATTGTAACAATTTAGGAAGGCATCTAAATCTTTAAATTCTGGATGAATTTTATGTTTTAAACTACAAAATTGCATGAAGGCTAACTTGAAAGACTTCCTATCATTCTACAATTCCTCAAGTGGGACCAATTGTTTTCGGACACTTTCTTATAAATTCACCCTTTGAAAGCAGATACATTACATTTGTTCCACATCTTCTGATCTTAACCTAACTGTTCACGGAATATTCAAATATGATAGGAAGACAGACCTGAGAGCAACATTTACAATACAACAGAACTTGCTAAATTCTTCATCAGCACCCTCTGAAAAAACCTTTGTAAGCCTTTCTCTTCTTTATTTTAGCAATGGATTGTGGAAATGTGCGGTTTTATCTAGACATGAAAATATTTCAATGTACGGTGATCTTGCCTGACAGGTTTAGTACTGCTACGGGAACTCAAACACAATTCTTCCATCTGTGGTAAAGGTCAGAAAAAAGCAGCACACGGGGAGGGAAGAGCTGACTGCCAGAGTCACGATGTCTGAGAGGTTGTCAAGTTTTTCCCTCCTGACTATATCCATTTTCTTCTTACAGCTTAAAAATCGTAGGAGATTGTTAACAGTTCTTTGTAGGAATTTTTGTTTTTCTCCAGATTCAAGTCCTATTTCTCTGTAGTTTGATTCTCTATGCAGTATTTGATTTGCTCAGTTCCTGCCTGATTGCTGATAGGAAAGAAAAAATATTCAAAGTAAATACAACAATAAAGTGATGTAGATGAATGACAAACTGGTGAGGACTGTTAAGGATTGTGTTCAAACTCTGTCATAAAAAGATGCAGAACTTAAATCTTTCATTGTACAGATCTTTGTTTTAGTATCACAAAGATACTAATTATGTGTTTATAGCTACTTCTTTTCACTCTGTACACACAAAACAAGAACACTGGTTCTGTGGGTTCTCAAACAACGGATATTCAGTTAGATATAACAGTAGAGGTATCTACAGAAAAATGTGCCTGTCCGGTTTCCCGTCAAATTCTACATTTGATACTTAGAAATTTTCCTTTCTGCATTTTCACAAATAGTTCCTATCTTATGAGGACAATACCTCTCGAATAGCCTAGGCCACAGGGTCACTATGGAAGAGAGGTGTGAAGAGTCACTTCCAGACAATAGTCTAAAGGGAACAGACATGCCCAACTACTTACCATCAATAAGCTCTTCCTTCAGCTTTGCTAGTTCTTTTCTCATTTCATCTAAAATGTCCTAAAGTATTAGAGAAAAACACCAGAAAACATCAACAAGTAAGACAGCATCTAAAAAAATCTGTTCATATAAAAGTTTAAGAATGTTATGAAATGTATAAACAATTCTTTTTTGTGTGTGTGTGTGTTTGTGTTTTTGTGTGTGTGTGTGTGTGTTTGTGTGTACACATGTGGAAACCAAAGGACAGTCCTGAGTGTCATTCCATAGATGCAGTTCATATGTGCGTGCGTGCGTGCATGTGTGTGTATGACAGGGCCTCTCACTGCCCTGGAACTCACCAAAGAGGCTAGGCTATCTGGCCAGTAAGCTGAGGGAGACTGCCCACTGACGTGTCTGGCTTTTTGCCAAGGGATGTGGGAATCGAACTCAGGTCGTTATGCTTATAAGGAGAGCATTTTACCAATCTGAGCTATATCCTTATGGGGTTCCCCGCCCCAGTTTTTGATTCTAGAGTCCCAATTCTATTTCTTAGAAGACTGGCCTTGGTAAGTTTTGTTTAAATATTCCTCACTTTCTAATCTTTGTTTATTCTGGCCTAGTAAGATATGAAATGGAATGCCTAAAACTAAAACAGCTAGGCCTGTCATCCAGTAAGAGGATAATTCAGCAGCCTCTAGAAAAGGTAATTCTTTAGCCTTTAACTTAGTCCTCTGGCAGCTGTCTGTGAGGTAACACATAGAGACGTTTCAAGGAAGAAGATATCACTGGACAGTCAGGTCCTGGCAGATCCTGTCACCTAGTTTAAAGTATGGCAATTTCTTAGGAGTCACCATAGCTGCTAAGTCACATGTCAAGTAATTTAGGATTCCTTTGGAAAGACCTGAAAGAGCTGTCCTAAGAGCAGAGATGAATGTTACATGGTGCTGGATGTACAGCACCTAACAGAGTGGGCACCAGCCACAAACAGCTGCTGAGCTCCTAAAATGAAGCTAGGCTGAAATGAGACAGGCTGTGATTGTAAAACACATTCCAGGTCCCAGATATCAAAGACTTAGTAAGAAAGTAACATGAAATCATTCAGTAGAACTTCAACACTGAATATATATTGAGTTGGTTTTATTTATTTTATTACCTGTTCATTTTTTAATGTGGCTACCAGAAAAAATTCAAATATATATGAATATTGTATTTCTATTTTTTTTAAATTTTATTATTTTTATTTTATGTGTATGTATGTATTGCCTGCATGTAGGTAAGTGCACCCGTGTCGTGCAATGTCTGTGGAGAACAGAAGAGGCTGTTGGAGCCCTTGGGACTGGAGTTACAGACAGCTGTTGCTGCCATGTGGGTGCTGGGATTCGAACCGGGGTCTTCTGCAAGAACGACCAGTGTTCTTAACCTCTGAGCCATCTCTCCAGCCCTGAATATTGTATTTCTATTTAACTGATGCTCTGGGTCCTCCACCAAGAACTGTGGTTCAAAGTCAAAAGTGCAATGGTGAAGAGGCACAATTTTCATAGATGAAAAACAACAGCAATCTTTGCAAGGATTACTCTTATGTGAGGTTTACATTGTATATCTCGGGAAAATTTTAAATAGTCTTTTAAATTTCATTTAAGGAAAAGCTTTTCACGTACAGTCAAGTGAAGCTGATGACTACCAATTTGTTTAAGTCCTTCATTTTACCAATGAGGGACCTGAGGCTGGGAAGTTAGAGAGACCAGCAGATATCCGTACTCAGATTAGGTTTTCAAATCTGTCCTCGTATCTGCTCCATTACTTTAGGGAACCACAAATTTATTGTATGTGAAACCTGTGCAAGTGCTCTATTTTCAAGTGTTTTTAAGTGAAAGAATACTAAAGCATCTCTCAACTCTCACCAGCCAAACTGCCTCATTCAACAGAGGGCAATGAACACAGAAAGCCACAACTGGCCAAAATATAGAGAATAAGAGACTACAGAGTGTGTGTCCTTGGACAGGGTTCCTATATTAAAACTCCATTACTCAGGGCTCGGGGACCACTGTGGAAGTGGGGGCAGAATGATTGTAAGAGCCAGGGGTGGTAGATGACCACAAGGAAACAAGAGTTTTCTAGGCACCTAGGAATTTGCTCATATGAACCTATAGCAATGGTGACAGCATGCATAAGACCCATGAAAACTCAAAACAGACAAAAACCCAGCATAGAAGTAGGGAAATGGGCCAGAAGTCCCAACCTAAGCCGAGGAGTACTGACAGCTGATCAATGCTGGGTGAGGGAAAGTTGGTCTTCTTTAAGGGAGTGACACTAGGTAGGCTGACCAGACTCCAGTGGATGAACTTAAAACAAGGGACATCTGAAGACACAAACTTGACTTGATAGGCCTAACATATGTGACAGAATGCTTGAAATCTGATGGGGGAGTTATGGGGGAATGTAGATAGGGGAGGGGCCAAAATATGATTAGTATGTCTGAAATGCACAAAAATTCATTACCTGTGTTTTGCCTACCATGGGCAAGTGCTCACAACACTGCTAAATATTCTAAATTATGGCTTCCTAATGACTTCAGAACGCTTAAACTTACTATCTTTTGTAGAGTTCTATGATATTCTGCAACAATCTTTTTTATAAATTCCTTGAAGTAAAATTGGAATCAAAAGTCTGAGATTTGTTTTCTCAAGTCGCTTCTTAAAAAGCCCAAGTTTGTGAGAATGTTCATTTCCTCACATTCTTTCCAAAATCAGACTTGTTGGGTCTGTTTTTGTCAGCATGGTAAACAAAAAGGTAGAGTTCACTGTTATAACCTGTAAGCGCTGCACTATACCACTGAGCTACATTCCTTCACTGATGTTGAAACTGAAGGGAACTCACTGAACCGGAAATGAGGATCTGAGATGACCAGTATGGGATGAATTGAGACAGCATTTAATTTCTATGAAATATTCTTAACTGTATAATCTTTTTAAAGGCACTTGTGATCCATATGGGATATATGTGTGCAAGGTTTGCTTTTTGTTAAGCAGAAACAAAGGACATTACACTGAGTTCCCACCTGCTTCAGTCTGTCATAGTCGAGTCCTTCTGTCTGGACTCCATTGGCACTGGGTTGTGACGAGGGCGTAGATTTCGGTCTGTACAAACAAAATTTCCAGAACAGGTAAATGATATTTACAATACTTAATGAGTTCATAAGTAACTGTACATCTGCGAACCCAACACCAGATTTAAATACATTTCTTAAACACATTTTGTTAAAAAGTTAATTGTTAAAATTATAGGACTGATTAGAACAGGCAGCAGCAAACATTTTTTACTTTCTTCGTTTTCAGTCATCTATAAAGAAAGAAGAAAAGGTGACAACATGGTGAGACCCCTTAAGAAAAGAGTAGAAGACAGCATCATCCGGGCAAGAGACAGGACTAGGTAGCACGTGGCACACTGATCATGAGCATGATGGAAGGTCAGCTGAAACTTCCAAGGTCCAAAGTAACACAATCTTGTTTGATGCTTTGAAAATTTACATTATCTATTAAACACCCAACTTTACAAAGGAAAAATCTACTGTCTTGAACATTTTATTCTACTATGTAGCAGTTTACAAGTTCTATGCCTCAGTTTGTAGGAAGAAAATAATTTAGTAAGCCTAATTCCTTCATGTATTTGATTCCATTTTAAACATTAAAACAAAATGTCGAAAAATAATGAGGTTAGAAGCATATTCATATCCAATTAGTTCTGTGGATCTCCCTATGAAGTTTTTATGGAGTCATCATTTGAATGATGTATTTCAGGTTAATTGCTTTCCACAAGTTTATTTTGTTTTGAAAAAGGAAAAGAAAAAGAAAAAAAAAAGGAAAAATCCTAACAAAACAAAAACAATCAAAATGTCAGAAACTGTAGATTATTATTGCACTTTCAAAAGTCTAGCTTTTACTAATTTTTTTTTACATGGCAAAATAAGACTTAGGGATTAGGCATATTTTAAATGGAAGTTCCAGTGCCAAATACATCAGTCATGGTTCCCTCTCCAATTCTGGAAATAAAAGAAAATCCCCTGGAAAACCTCAAGTTTTAATTGGTTTCTCCTTTATTTTCTGATTTATAATAGTACATGACTTTATAAATCATTAACTTGAAACCATTAGTCAAACCACATTTTAATTTTGCAGAGTACCAGTGTTAGAAATCTGAATCAAGGCCCAACATGTATTACTTGTTCAACATTGTAGTTTCATAATTCATGTAAGATAGCATATAATACCTTCAAACCCAAAGGCATTGTTCATGAAGATGAAATACTGAGTTAATTTGCTTTAATATCAAAACATTACCGCTTCAAAAGCTTATCATGAAGCAAGAACAAGCCAACCACTTTTACTTTATTAGGTAACTGCTTATGAAATAATTTTCAGAAAACTTCATTCAATAAGTACTGAAAGATTTTATGAAATACTTCCCTTCCTCTTGTGAGGACACACCTTCTTTGCTGAGGAGCCTACTTAATTCTAAAGTCACTTAGATCTAAGATTCACAAAATACAATAAGCAGTGGTGTTCTATGTAGTCAGGTGCAGTAAATATTCTTAGGGCTTGGCACACTGTGCATTTCATATACCCAGGCTATAGATTTCTGCTTTTCAGAATTGAATTGTGAATTACTCTGCTTTTCTTTCATTTTCAAGAGGTCAAATTAGCCATTTTCTAGGGTATATATTGAATATTTCTGAAATTCACACAAATAGATACAATCTGCTACTTAACAGGATAATACATTATAAAATTATGTGTCATTTAATAAACAATTGTGCAAACATGCAACTTAAATGTAACTCATGCTAACATGCAATCCATCACCACCACCACCACCATGAGAATTAACTCAAGGGGGGAACTTTTCATACTGAAGGAAAGAAATAATCACCACTTTCTTTTTAATTAAGAAAAAAAACAGATTCTTCAACAACATTATGCTGGGGATACTAAGTATAGAACTAGTAAGATAATTGAGAAGAATTCATTGTTATATACTGCTGTTCTCCCTATGTTCTAGCAGATTTTCTTAATAAATCTTTTGTTCAAACAATTAGCTCATTTCAAAAAATGTTGGGCAAAGTATTTCACTATGGTCATATAAACATTTTATGGAAAATAAACTGACAAAATAAACTTGTCAAATATTTTGATCATCAATGGTGTGCAAGCAACTTAGTAAATAAGAATTTGATCAGAGTCTGATTACAGAACACCTACTTTGCCAATGACACTTTCCCTATACACTACTTAATGTTTTCAGTAGACCTGATGCATACAATGTTAATCTATTTAAAATACCATTAGCATACTTCAGTTGTTTGTTCACTTATTTATTCATTTATTTGAGATAAAGTCTTATGCTGAAGTCCAGGATGTAGTCCTGGGATATAGTCCAGGATGCCCTTAACTCACAGTCTTGCCTCGGTCTCCTAAATGCTGGGATTATAGGTATGCACTACCTGCCATGCCTCACTTCATTTCAGTATTTTAACTATGGGTTTTCAACATAACTGATAACAAAACATGACTATTTAGCAGCTACTTATCATAGGTCTTTATTATTTACGTAAAATAACTATCGCAGTACTTAGCTTCCTATTCTACCAAATTGATTTTACAAATTGCTGGAAAGCATTGGCAAAAAAAAAAAAAAAATTGCTAACTTTATTTTTAATTACAGGGAGGGTGATGCTGGAGATTGAATCCAGAGCCTTAAATGTGCTAAGAACATGATCTACCACTGAGTCCCACTCCCAAACCTCATCCTAGGAATCTACTCAGGATGTTAAGTATCTGGTTGTTAAAGATAGTCAACTTACTGCATCTAAGAAACAGATTATACTCAAAGACCACCTACAACTATGGCTGTATTATTTTCCTGTGGTCCAGCAAAAACCAGCATTTTTTTTTTTTAAAAAAAGCTTTTGTCTCACAAATATGCAGAGAATACCCTTTGCAGGAAAATATTAATGCTACCAACACCCTAGACAATAAAAGTGAACTTGGATATTTCATCTGAGCATTTCTGATGTTCATCATATTTATATGAAATCAATTATCAAGTGATAGTAGAGGTTCACTTTTGTTTAAGTGTTCTAACTACAACTAAAATAGAAAGCTTCAATCCTCCTAAATCTCTCTCTTGTGGTGATTACCAATCCAGGTAGAAAAAGCTCAGCCCTATCCTGGACATGTTATTTAAAAGTCTCAAATCACAAAGTCACAGCAGGATACCTGTGTAATGAATCATAGGACCTGTTGTCAAAAACAATCTGATTTTTCCTTGGAGAATCCCGTCTATGAAGGGGAAAAACCATTTAAAGGGTATACAATATCACTTAATGAAAGGCGTCAATTATCCTTAAAATAATACCTATTTTATCCATTTAAAAAAGGTATTTGGAGGCTAATATATGCGAGGGCTACTTTTGTAGGCTGCAGGAACAGAAAAACCTACTTACCAAGTATCAAAACACAAGCAAAGACATTTCTATTACAATGAATATCAGATTCCAAATCACTGTAGTGTGACAGACAAAATTAATTTTTTCAGGCATTGTAAAGAATATATTTGGGGATCATGAATATAAAAAGCATTATTTTTTAAATAAAACCCCTAAGAATTCCCCAATATTTCAATGTTACATTCTGTTCTTGTCTTAATCCATTTTTGCTACAACATTCTTTTCACTGACATCTGCACTTAAACCCAGAACAACATGGATCTCATGGATATAGAGTATTAACTATTTCACAAGTATACATTGTATTAACTCATTTACCATTTTCATACTTTGATATTGGAATCTCGAAGAGAAACTGGGTACTTTACAGAGTGCAAGTATGCGGCATACTTAAAAATATAAAATGGCCAACGTCACTGCTTTCAGAAGGAGTAGGGGGGGATGACTCAGGAAGCAAAGCAATTTGATCCTCAGGCTTTAAAAATTTTTTTTGGAATTTATTATTTTTATTTTATGTGTATGTGTGTACTGCCTGCATGTAGGTAAGTGCACCCATGTCGTGCAATGCCCATGGAAGACAGAAGAGGCTGTTGGATCCCTGGAACTGGAGTTACAGACAGTTGTTAGCTGCCATGTGGGTGCTGGAATTAGAACCAGCGTCTTCTGCAAGAACAGTCAGTATTCTCAACCACTGGGCCATCGCTCTAGCCCAGTAACTTTTATTTTTATTTATTTATTTATTATTTTATTTTATTTTTGGTATTTTTGAGACAGGATCTCTCTGTAGCCTCAGCTGGCCTGGAACTCATGTAGACCAGGCTAACACTGAACTCAGAGATCTGCCTGCCTCTGCCTCCTGAGTGCTGGGATTAAAGGTGTGCGCCACCATGTCCAACAAGTTCTCAGGCTTTTACAAATTTACTTTAAATATCATTTATAGCTTAAAATTACTTATGGTAATACTTTTTAATAAAAAGATTAAAATTAAAAATAAATTATGTGCATATGAGTGTGTCTGAGGATGGGTTTGTGCACCTGATTGTAGTGCCTGCACAGGCCAAAAGACAGTGTCAGGTCTCCCAGACCTGGAGTTACAGGTGGTTGTGAGCAGCCTGATATGGGTTCTAGGAACTGAACTCTAATCCTTTGGAAGAGCAGTACAAATTCTTAACTGCTGAGCCCCCCCAGCCCAACCTTTTCTGTTTTTTTTTTTTTTTGGTCTTTTTGAGACAGGGTCTCTCTGCAGCCCCAACTGGCCTGGAACTCACTATGTAGACCAGGCTGGCCTTGAACTGACAGAAATCTACTTGCCTTTGCCTCCCAAGTGCTGGGATTAAAGGTGTGTGTCACCATGCCTGGCACCCTTTCAGGTTTTTTTTCTTGGGGGGGGGGGCGTCTTTTTGAGACAGGGTCTCCCTGTAGCCCCAGCTGTCCTGGAACTCACTATGTAGAGCAAGCTGGCCTTGAATGCACAGAGATCTGCCTGCCTCTGGAGTGCTGGGATTAAAGGCATGCACCACCACGCCCAGCCCACCCTTTCAGTTTTTTGAGACAAAGTCTCACTATGTAGCACCAGCTTGCCTGGAACTTACTAATATAGACCATCCCAGGCTGACCTCCATCTTCACAGTGACCCAACTGCTTCTGCCTCCCAAGTGCTAGGTTTAAATGCATGTACCACCAAGCTGGGCTTGTAGCCCCATTATTTTGGTGAAACTTTAAGATGTATGTATTGATGACTGAAACAAACTCCACGAAAGGGCTATCGGTGGTCAGAAAATATCCAAGTGTTTCAGAATTTCTATTTAGTCAAAGGTGTAAGAAAACATTTAACAGAGCTGGAACAAGACTACCAAGATACAATTCTTCTATATAAAAATAGATTTAAAAACAGCTTTTCATGGGCCTACTAAGCTATTTTTTAAAATTTTACTTATTTTTATTTTATGGGTCTGAGTGCTATGCCTGCATGTGTGCAAGTGCACCTATGCTGTGCTATGCCCATGGAGGACAGATGAGAGCATTGGAGCCCCTGGAACTGGAGTTACAGATGGCTGTTAGCCACCTTGTGGGTGACGGAATTCAAACCCAGGTCTTCTGTAAGAACAGCCAGTGCTTAACCTTTGAGCCATCTCTCCAGCCCTGCTTCTACCTTTTAGAAGACTGAAAATTTTTTTCAAAGATTCTTTGTCCAGTGGGCATTAGTACTCTTTGGTTTGCTGTTGTTCTGTTTGGAGACAAGGTCATATTATATAGCCCTGACTGGCTTGGAATACATTATATAGACCAGGTCAGCCTTGAGCTCACAGAGATCTGCCTGTCTCTGCCTCCTGAATGCTGGGATTAAAAGGTGTTTGCACCATGCCTGGCTTTGGCATTAATACTATTGTTATTGCCCAGCCCACTATCCTGTTGAAGGCTACTCAATAAAACTGCTTTCTACACACACACACACACACACACTCTCTCTCTCTCTCTCTCTCTCTCTCTCTCTCTCACGCACGCATGCACGTTTCTCCTTTGCTACATGAGATCAAACAAATCAATCCCTTTGAAGATATGATTTCTGCCATCAATTCAGGGGTGGCTTTTGACAAACTCACTACATAAGGGTGCAGGACAGTGACAACAAGAAGGGCTCTGCCATATCACAACTTAAGTCTTCAAAGGACAAACAGCACATCATAGTTCTGTTTTAGATTTGATATATGAGACTTTAAAAATGTACTACTGAACAAAATTGGTAGCTATCAGAGCTGGGTTAGAAGGTCACATCAGTCAGCTGTCTAAGAAACATAAACATGCAGTTTCTCAGCTCAACTAAAATAATACTAGTGTTAGCACCACATCTTTACCTGCTAGCAGAAAGTAGTACATAAAAACCAAATCTAGAGGCTGGAGAGATGGCACAGCGGTTAAGAGCACTGACTGCTCTAGCAGAGGACCCAGGTTCAATTCTCAGCACCCACATGGTGGCTATGAACCATTGTTAACTCCAGTTCCAGGGGAATCAAAAGCCCTCTTCTAACCTCCGCAGCATTGCATGACACAGGTGCACTTATATACATTCATACATATAAAATAAAAATAATAAATAAAATACTGCCAGGCATGGTGGTGCATGCCTTTAATCCCAGCACTTGGGAGGCAG